TTCAAAAAGAAATTAGTGATGATCAATGGTTTGAAGAGAATGAGTAAACATTTAATAAAGCATAGGATATATGCATAGCGAAGAAATTTTTTTAAAAAAAGATTTTATCAAATTATTTTTTTAGAAAAAAAATTCTTTATATTATAAGCATGTGCATCTTGCAGAGTTTTTTTTTGCAAAAATAAATTTATTTAATGCTGAAGTATAATTCTAATAAATTTCATGATTAAAGTTTTTTTGCATTTAATAAATAATTTTGTTTTCCAATTGGCTATTTAAAAAATTTTTTTAAAAAAGCAAAAGAATGCAATCACCTCACTAAATTAACCAATCATATATGGTAGTTTTAATTCAAGCCATCAGCCACACAATCACCAATGTTTTAAAACATGTTTTAAAACAACTTAAAAAACATTAAAAAACATTAAAAAACATTTTTTTGCCATCCTTACCAGAATCATGATCGAATTCATATTTTCCGATTGGCTAATTTTAAAGCTGGCCAGAATCATGCCAGCTGGCCGAAATTATAAAAATTACATTGTGCAGTTTCAACCAAGGTAAAATTGTCACTAGCGTTGCCAACAAAATTACGTAATATTAATTATCACAAGAAAATAACTACTGATACATAGTAATTTTTTTTTAATTCATGCAATAAATATATGTTATAGTACGTGATGATTAATCATACATAATTTTGTTGGCAACGCTAATCATCACCCAAAAAAATTTCGAACATCACGTGACATGGGATATGTAACTAAAATTCATGTAACTTGAATAAATTAACAACTAACAAAACTAATGAAACTTAATAACGATAAGCAATAGCATTAAGCATTTATTTGTTTCAAATAAAATCTAAGATTTTTTACAACCAGAAAGTATTTTGATTACGATTTTTCCAAGTATTTGGAATATTGCGTTGCCTTTTAAAATTATTATAATCCTTCTCCAATTTACACAATAGTTCAAATTTTTTTTAATACTATAAACCATTTGTTACCATTTGGATTTATTGTGTTCTCTTCAATAATTTTTTTTATTACATCCAACAGGTTAAAAATTTCTTGTTTACAGGTCTGGTACAAGATTATATTTTGATTGTTGACATATATATTGATATTTTGATTTTTATTTAAATTAACTATACTAATATTTTGATTTTTATTTGAATTAATAATTTCAATTGATATTTCTTGATTATCAATTTGAAAGTCATCATTATAGACAATTGTTTCATGAATATTACAAGAACAATCTAAGTTTTCAATTGCAGAATAAAGGTCTTCTGATAAATCAACAAAGGCATTCTTTTTCCTAATTTTCAATAAGGAATAAAATTCTTAATGAATTACCTTAAATAAATATTAATTAAAATTAAATTATTATTATTAAGCAAAATAATTTTTTTTTACTTTTTTAAAAAATTCTGGTTCTATAGGATTATACATTTTAATTAAATGTTTATATATATAGAAATAGTTTAAAAGAAAACTAGTATATAAGCATATTCATCATAATAAGTTGTAATGTGCTTGACATTTAGTTTATTATATGAATAGTTAATTTTTTTATTTTAATTAAAATTCTTTATGTTATTTAAATATGTATTATAACAGAGTACTTGGTTGAATTTAGAGAGTAGATGAATGCAAGAGATTGTTACTAGAAAAAGAGTTATGTTGTATAATGTTTCCCAAAGATAATAGAAGCAGTTTAATAATTTGGCACAAGGTCAAGACAATTATTTAAGGAGCATTACAAGATAAGTACTATAATTTTTAAAGAGCATTATAGTATTGGTGATTCAAAGAGTCTTTAATAACTTTATTAATACTTTGTAGAAGTAGTACAAATATATTGTTAGAGCTATTTTGAACTATATTGAGCTATATTGAACTATGCTAAACTATCTTTCAGAAGAGGAAATTCTATCTTTTTTATAATAAATTAAATGAGAGAAAGGCCTGCACAATATCACAACTTTTTTTATTATTTTCAACACTTCTCAACCTTATTTGTTATAACTTTTATTTCTTTTTTTTTTTTTTTTTTTTTTTTTTTTTTATTAAGGTGAGGTTTTGCCTTTATCTTTATTATAATTTGTATTAAGA